TAGCTTTGGCACCCAGGGTGAATAGCTGTAGCACCCCAGGTTTATAGCTGTGGCACCCAAGGTGTAGTGTAGATTACATAAAATCTTCCTGGATTAGCGCAACTCAGCAATAAGCAAGGTCTCGAGACGGTCCCATATCTTTACATCCAATACTGTAAATTTCAACGCCTTCTCTGTTTCGAACACCCCTTTCTTTGCCTTTGTCAGCTAGTACTCACCCGCCATAGTTGTATGCCTGTAGGGCCCTCCTGGCTGGGGACACAGACAAATCGCCTGGGGGGTCTAGGGTTTTCCTCTCTGAGGAGCGTCTCCGGTAGGAGTCGACCCGCTTCCTGGGAGGGTCAGCTGCAGGGGGGGATGATGTTCCAAGGGTTAAAACAATGAGACAGAATTTGTTGGGATACCTAACGCCATGTACCAAAGTTGAGTCCAGAGCTTGGTCTTGGTTCTCCCTCTGTTAACATACGCTGACACTGATCATAGCCAAAAGCTCTGGAAACCTATTTTGGACAAGGCTTCGCACACAAAGATGATAGGTCAGAAGGTCAAATTCAACAGAGGTGTTGGGAAAGGGAAAGATCCATGGCCCCAAGCCCTCTTTGGATGGATGCTTTGGCAGACCATAAGAAATGTGTGAATTGACAGAGGGTGACGGATGGACACTACCAAGTACCTGAATCTGAGCGTGATCTTGATGTCACCTCACTGTCGTCTTCAAAACTTGGCTTCCTCTGCTTTCGGTCCAGCAGCAACGAGTAAATTACCTTCTCTGAGTTGTGGCTGAAATTAGAGAACAAGTTTTATTAGCGAAGGGGTCAGGAGTGGAGAAGTGAAGAGGGAATGTTGAGACTGAACTTATCAGACCAGACAACAAAGTTGTGAGTCTTTGAATTCTGAGGAGTCAAGTTGAGAGGATTTGGGAAAGCTGACTTCTGAGTTAAGTCAAACTATCTGCTCCAAGCGGAGCAGAAGAGGGCAGTTTTTTTTGGTAGTCGCCGCATAAGCGTGCCATAAAGAGCGCAAGTATATGCGCGTTTGTTTGACACGGAGCACAGTGAGTACATGTAACTAATTACTCCAGCATGTATGGTCTTCATGTACACGCAGAACGTCTGCAAATAACCCGCTTGTAACCACCTGTCTTTCCTTTCGCCGATTGGGGGTGCACTTCAGCTTGGGGCAGATAAAGAGACAACGTATGACCTGAGCTTTAATGGGTCAACAAATGTGAGGCAAATGATGCAAGTTTTGAGGGGATGGTTATAATAAATTTGCTCCTCTGAGCGAAAGACTCACTGTTGGCTGAGTAGATTCCTGATGAGTTTATCTCGGTCTTTGAAGCAGCCTAACGACCCCATGCTCCTGAGGACATCAGGGTCAATATCGTCTTCGCTCATTAGTACTGGTATCTGTGGATGACAAAACAAGTCTGAAAAAGTAGCTAAGTGGGAAATTTTGTGAGTTCTCCAAAATCCGCCTCAATTGAAAAAAAAAAAACAATAGCACACACTGCACTTCAACTTCCAAATGGTATCAAAGCCTGCATGGAGTATCAGTGACCAGGTTCTACTTGTACCTTCCTCAATCCTATAAAATCCTCCGAAACCTTTTGGGGGATTTCAAAGGATTTGGGAAGGTTAGGGAAAAGTAACACTTTACAAAATGGCAAGCACTGCCAGGAGAACAGGCAACTTTCAACACTCCCTTTCTTCAAACCATGAACAAACTCAACAACACCAGCTAGCAAAAGTTTAATTTTTGACCGAGTTACATGTCTACGCGGTTCAAAAAATGGAGAGGCACTGACTGAGCTCGTTGACTGAGACTTTTTTGTATGGAAAATGTGTTCAGTAGAGTTTCAATTACTCTACAACTAAATCATCACTGAAGCGCACCTCCAATTTCAGACTGTGCAGAGACCCAAATGGTTTCCCATGCAAACCCTACATGTACATGCTGTATCAAGTCCAAATGTTCAGCATGTTGCTAGTGATAACTTTGCTTTGCTTTCTCTTTTTGTTTTGTTTCGTGTTTTTGGTTTTGTTTGGTTGGTTGGCTTGTTTGCCTGCTGTGCATGTAATGTACGTCTACAGTTACACTGTACATACATTTCACTACCGACTTTGCAGAAGTTGAAATGCATTTTTACTCAGAATTTAAAACTACACATATCTGCATTACCTTGACTGAGGTTTTTCTCGGCAGTTCTGTTTCATGATTGTCGTTCTTTGAACCACTGTTTCAGAACAGAAAAAAGTGTCTATTAAATTGTCATTCCTCAATTTTTGCAGACACACGTTTGAGACTTAACCTAACGACATTTTCAGACTTGGGAAAGAATTAGCTAGCATCAGAAACAAGCTAGCATCAGAAACAAGCTAGCGTCAGGAACAAGCTAACGTCAGGAACAAGCTAGCGTCAGAAACAAGCTAGCGTCAGAAACAAGCTAGCGTCAGGAACAAGCTAGCATCAGAAACAAGCTAGCAACAGGAACAAGCTAGCGTCAGGAACAAGCTAGGTCAGGAACAAGTTTGCTGGCATGAGTGCAGTAAACTATACATGTATTCTGCAGAATTTAAGACATTTTGTTTTGAAATGACTCCAACAGCCACAAATTTTCAAAGTGTGCAGCATCTAATAAATCTCGGCTGTACAGAACATCTCCTATTTATCACTGGGATGAATATATACGAAAGGGACATATATTTTTGTTCTCGTTTATTTATGCCCAAATTCCATCTGGCTGGTTTAGCTATTTATCAGCTGGCAAAGCCACCATAACTCCACTAATAGGAACGGTTTGTTAGTTTAACTCCGATGACCTATGATGATTTATCCAACATACATGTATCAGAAATCAACACAGGCATGCCGATGCAAACATCTGTGACTGACTCAATCAAAATGAGGAACAGCAATGAAGTCCACACTTTCTAATACGTACATGTAGGTAGCTTTAAATATATTTAAATGCATATGTATATGTAGTCACTGTTTGAAGAATCTCTGAATGAATGCTCGGGTCCTGTTTATAAAGGTGATCACATTATTAAGTTTTGATTTTAAACCTGCAACCAATATTGAGCATGGGAACAGCATAAATTGCACACACGCACAGATTACAAGTATCAAGTAAAGATTCTCCGTACAAAGGATTAACATTACAATGGAATTCTATTGAACAGTTAGGAGCGAAATACATGTACTATGCAACTTTTTTCTAAAAAAAATCCTCTTAGAAAAGAGGAGTGTCCATTACTACTACTCCACAGTAAAAAAAAAAAGCATGTTGCTCATGGCAACATGCATTTTTCCTCATTTTGACGATTATCATGGAAGGGATTGACAGAATGTACATAATGTACCTGTACCGTGCGTGTAGTATAACATTCTATCCATGTATGCGTGTACTTCAAATGATGTAATGCTGTATGATGTTTTGTCCTCATTAGAAAAAAATTCTTTCTTTCAACTCTACAATTCTGATTTCAAGAACAGGTACTGCTCAGCTAGTTTTGCAATAATAGAAACTTATAACTTAATAACAGAAACGAGGGGACTTACATTAAGAACCACGGATGCCGTTGTATTTGTGATATCTGTGAACAGAGAAAAAAGCAGGAAAAAGATCAGACGGGAAAAACAAGATAAACACAGGAACGTACCCATATGGTAATAAAACCGAATGGAAAAAACTGCCCAATTTGGGACCCTTTTTCGAGCAAGAAGAGAGACTTTAGGCCTATATCCAATTTCCATTAGCTCCAACACTTTCTCTGTAAGTTTCTCTGAAATCATCAGCTTTTCCCCACTGTTCTGAGGAATCGGTTACATAAGCCTCAAATAACATATCCCCCATCCAATCACACAAAAAATACCACAGCTACCGGTTTAGTCTGAAACCTTGTCCGCTTTTTTTTTGTGACAGACACTTTACAACAGACAGGAAAACAAATCAGACAATACCAAGACGTCGGACAGACCGGTAAACACAGGGCAGACAAACACATGAACTAAAACAAAATAAATCAATCCAAACATTCAACAGAAAAGACACTTGCGTCAAATACATGTAACACTGTATGTACATGTATCCAAATTCAGCCGCAGGCCAAAAAATTTTCACAGTAAGGGAAAAAACTCATTATTGCATCAAAACGCCAGACTTGCTCCGAGTCTATGTGTTCAAATGTCAGCACAATAAAGGGTTTGAAATTGCATCGATTGTTCTCAGATGTAAAAAAAAAAATCAATTCAGACAAGCGCAATCAGCGACGCACTAGAAGCACTTAGCAGATGTAATGTTATGTAAGCCTGTAAATGGCCCTACGGGGAATTAAATGGTCTAGACATTCGAGGCTTTCAGGGGAAAAAAATTGATATTGCAATGTCCTTGGGAAGAGAGGCACTTCCAATATGGCCGTTCTTTCTCTGGTGTTAATAATCAAATTATAATTGAGTTTTAAGGTCTTCCGCAGTGAAGCACCACACCGTCTTTGAGACAGCCTTGATGACATCTGCCTGAATTCAAACAACCTACCACATCAAAGATTTGCTACATTATGCTCGAAACTTAATCCACGTATTTCTTGTACAAATCTATGGCTGCTTGCACCACACATAGCCTGTCGTAGTTTCTGCTGGCCCAAGATCCACTAGTGTAGGGTTTTTCTGTCCGCAAAAACCATTCCCTTTTTGATCACAGTTTTGATTAATCAAATGGCTGACTTTTCCATCCTCTAATTTGTCAAGTAAGGTTAAATTGACAAAGTTCAGCTTTGAAATCTTTTTTTTTTTGCGTGTCTTTATGGTATATACCAGGATTATGGTTTATTACGATTTTTGTTATTCTGTTGTGCATTTTGAAAGAAGCTTTTACTTTACAGAGTGGTTTTTGATTAATCAAACAGAGAAATTAACTCAATAATTGAAGCATCAACTGATTAAACTGAAAAGTGTTTACAACGGCCAAACTACGGTAGCTTGTGGTGGCCAGTTTGTGAGGGCTAACATTTCTGCCCTTGATAAATGCCTACAGTACACCCTTGGGACCATAAACACAATCGTAAATTACATAAGTTTGAATTTTCCACTTGCGATGCATAAATAAACCCAAACAACTGTCATTTTGACACAAGATTTTAATTTTACAATGGACCGTGGCATTGTGTACACTGATTTGACATTGGTCTTTTGCAGCCCATTAAAACACTACTCCGGTGGTGCAGTTATTGTTTTGCCCATCATATTCTGCTGAATAACACGGAAAAACCAACACTAGTATGTTTACAGAACAAAATTAACCCTTTTAAGCAACATCCATACATGTCTGCGTTGGCATCATTTGTTCATCTTGTGCGACGGCATGTTAAAACAGACAGTCATTCTTAATTTCATTAATAACATACATGCAATAGCAAGGCGGCTGGCAACGGCAGAGCTGGTGGTTGTACGTGCTCATCTTGCAACACCGGTTTCTGTCTAGTGAGTTTCATGCACTGCTGGACAGGCAGTCTAGTAAATTTTCAACAAAAATTCAAAGACCGGATGACAGGCCTTACCGTGAGCCGCCTCTCTGCTTGCGTCTCCACCATCCCGCGTAACAGATTCTGACAGTCGGGCGGGACAAAGTGGGGGATGTGGAACACCCCCCTCTTGACTTTCTCTAAGAGATTCCTGAGATTATCGTCATCAAACGGTAACGCTCCCTGAGAATTCAAACAAAACAATGGCATCAGGCTTTTTGTTAAAAACATTAAACTACTACTTGCCCATGCCAAAGGGGGGCAACTTTTCCTCACAACAGCTTTGAAAGTTCCTCCTGTTTGCTTCCAACACGTGTGTCTGCAAATACAAAAAGTCTCGAGAGCCGGAAGTAAGGAAATACTTTCTTTCTTCAAGATTTCTGATCACTGAATCAGGAAGTACAGCGGGAACTGGTTCTATGCTGGATCAATCTCAGTTAGGACGATGATGCTGTAAATGTTCCTGGGCAGAACTATTTGCTGCAACTTGCTTCTCTCCACCGGTTCTCAACTAAAGGGGTGAGACTGAGAGGGGAGAGGGGACAAAAGACATCAATTCGGACTTACAACGAGCAGAGCGTAGAGTATAACCCCTGCACTCCAAACATCCGCCTTCCTGCCATCATACTTCTCCCCCTGAAACAGGAGAAAAGGGAATCAAATCAAATCAAAACGTACACTAATCCACTGACTTGTGCCATGTCAGAATCCACTGACTACGGCTAGGGGTAACACACGTCTGTGTGTCTACACATGTGCATGGTGGAAGTTACATGAGATGTAGGCTAGCGGGTACACCATCGAATCAATCTCTTTTGGTAGTTCTTAGAAGAACCGGTGAGTGTTAACTTGACGTTTCGGCCAAGATGCTCTGGCCGTCCTCAGGAGGGTGTGCCGGACTCGAGTGGAGAGCTGGGTTATGAAGGTAATCTGGAGGCGTTAATCTGGCACACTCTCCTGAGGACGCCCAGAGCATCCTGGCAGAAACGTCGAGTTAACACTCACCAGTTCCTCTATATGTCAGAACCACACCTCGACCAAAGAGACTGATTCCATGGTGTATCCGCAAGCCTACATGTACATCTCGGGTACATCTACATGTACTTTCGGAGTCTTCCTGCGCACATGTACATGCATTCCCAATAAAACAAAAATCTACACATGTACATGTAGAGTACACCTGGCTCTAGAAAACAGATTGGGATGGTGCCTAAATTTCACTTGTCTCATGCATGTAAAAGGGGGGAATCCAGAAATTTGGGGTCCCCTTTTGTTTTCATGTCCCTGTCACATCTGACAAATGATTTAGTGCGTTCAGAACACATTTTCTAATTTCCAAAAGTGATGAATTAATGCAAATTACCTGCCAAACAAATAGTAATAGTTGGAAATCAATTCCGGTGATATTTCCATGTCAAATAAGAATGGTAAGACGTAACAGGGACACAAAAATGTCACACTTTTGGACCCCTAATTTCTGGTATTACCCAAATATAAAATCTCTTTAGTTCATTGTATATGTACAAGTAGCTCCAAAAACTCTGACCCAGGTCAAACCTGGTTTTCAATGATGTGGCAAACATGGATGCGATATTCTAAACAAACTAAATAAATCTATATCAAAATAGTCATATTGCAAACAGATTCTTGGAAATGTAATTATATCCACATATCATAGGGAAATTAATTTTGGAATTAATAAATAAATTACTCCAGCACGTGTACAAGGACATCTACACATGTACGTACGGTACATGTACCGGTACATGTACATATCACATGTACGGTACATGTATATAAGCTTTTGCAAATACCAGAAGTTATTTGTTATTCTCAACAGGCAAGAAATTACATATCTAATGTGGTTGAATTCGTATACCAGTATGTTCAAAACTTTGTGAAATAAACAAGACATTGAAGCAAAAGTATTATTCACCACCGCCTTCACAAAACCTGGAGAAAATGTCAGCCTTTTGAGGTAACCACATGCTCTCTGAAATGCTACAAACATTTCATGAAACAGCCTTTATCAGTGTTCGTCTTGGCGATAAAGTAGCTGCATTCTTCATTAATGAACTTCCAAGTGCATGACATGAACACAGTACACCTAGGCATAACAAAATTCTGTTACACCCCACCTACACGTACCGGTATATGTTTTAAAATGCCGAGACGTCATTGGCTTTCAAGTCCATTATCAATCAAGGCCAAATGAGCTATCCCATGCATGATGTCCTCCACTTTTGTTCAGATATGTACATTTAAAGAACATGTGCACGGTTACATGTACCCATAATTTCACCCTGTATGTACTGTATCATGCCCTCTTGTGTTCACACCAAAAATATGGCAGACAGCTGCACTTTCTCTTCTGCAAAGTACATATACATGTTTGCACAGGTACTGTGTACATGTACATGTACACCTGAATCCGTGCATGACTACTGTCACGTGTGGACTGCTAAATTAAATATGTCTCCTATTAATTATTAAGCCATGTATCCTTGCTATGGATGAGCTACATGTGTATATGAAGCCACATACCGTTATTCCTGTTTATTTGGGCCACTCAAATTCTCATTTTGGGATCTTGTACTGTGTGTTGCCAGTACGGTTTCTGAATTACTGCTCAGGGCATGCAGGGAGCACATTGGAGAAAAAATCATTGGCAAAAAGGCATACATGTAATGCTGTTCAATTTCGGACAGAAAGGGCCTCTCCTGTCCCATAAATTTTGAAATTTATGCCAGAAAACAGGAAAATGTGAGGTCCTGACTGGTATGCACAGTCTCAATAAAAGCCTATGTACATGTATAAAGTATGTACCGGTACATGGTGGTAGGGCTGAGTCAATTCGAATAATTCAATATTCCAATATTCTACCTTCAATTCGATCGAATATCCGAATATTCCGCCTGGCAGATAATTGATGAACAAACTATACATGTATACAAATTTCCAAAGTCAGTTGCAATGATGCACACAATTGTACATGTACATTATGATCACTGTAATATCTTCTCACATCTAGGAGTTTTTCCAACCACGATTTAGCAAGATTTAGAGACGAACAATACTTCTTGTCCTTTTGAAAGTGTCTATTCCTTTTAAATTTTGTAATGAATAATTTACTTTTAGAATCATTGTGAGATTTCTGACACTTTTCATTTGAATCTTCTCGAAACAAGCCTCCATAGTGCAATTTTTTCTCATTTAAACAAAAGAAAATTCTCCCTTCTTTTTTTTTGAATTCTGCATTGGGATATTCAAATTTGGAAAATAATATTTGAATATTTGATAAATTATCAGCTATATATGGATAATCGGCACAGCACCACATGGTGAACAAAATCCACACACATCTCACATGCACATGTACCAGTATACGCGTATATATATATATGTGCACATGAAAGCACACTTATCTACTTGTACGCCTTAAAAGCCTTTTAGGTTACGCATACAAGAAACTTAAACTTTCTTTAGACTCCAAGGAGTAAAAGTAAACAATGAGACATAACAAAACAGAGCCTGCACGTCAGCAAAGCCCGAGTTTTGCTATCGATCTCCGTGTATTTATGCAACACTAGGAGGGTTGGCCACTATGGACTGCAAGCATCAGTGCAGGTGCAGTGTACATGTACATTGTACGACGGACTTCATGGAGCTAGTTGGCTAAAAACGGAGCATTATTGTTCCTTTCAAACATCCAATAAAAACAAGTTTTTTGTTTGATGACCATATGCGGCACATTCAATACATGCAATGCTGAGCAAACTAACCTATGGTGTACAAACACCACCTGCCCTTTAACTGTTACATGAACCCGAAACACACATAAAATTGCCCATGTTGGATATCACACACACTCTCTTGCCGTCAACAACCGTTCTGAAGAACAGGCTGGCCAGTGAGTCTTCTCAGACCTGGGATGTGTTCCACCATGTCCACAGCGGGAGGAATCTCGGACAGGTTTTCCCGGGACGGCAGTAACGCTCACCGCCGTAGCGATGAAAACAGGCTGACACGAGCAAAATCCAACAATGACGGTCAGCCTCAAGGCAGGACACAGGAGGGAAGCGATGGCAAATGGCCAGCAAGACAGAGAGATACATTGATGCACGGTACACAGAGGCACTTGCCATCTGGGCTGCTACAGACAAGCTCCATCCGTAAAACCTGAGCAGTGATGGAGTTTTTTCCTTGAAGCTGTCTGAGTGTTTCATTTTTGTCTCATTCCATTTCTTCTGGGCTTGTTATGCAGCACGTACAGTATCATTCCCAAAATTTTTGAGACATTTAGGGAAAAAAACGGCATGATATTTGCTGCTTCAACATACAGCACTACTCACTCCGAATATAAAGCAAAGAATGAAAAATTTACACGCTACTGCATCGAAGCCGACTGCAAGAAAAAGCATTTTCGTCTTCCTTTATTGTGTTCATACCGATATGCCCATTTAACGTTTGTGAAATCTACAAAAATCCAGTAATACATAATTTGGATACCCTGTGTTAAATTTCATGGCAAATTCTGATATTTTCTGGATGGTTTTAACAAATAAAAAGCTAAAAATTGGATGGATTGTGAGCATTATCACGTAATGCTTTCATGTCATTGGTAAACTACCGTCCTGATTAAGAAAACAGAAAACTTCACACCTGCTGGGGATCTTATTGTTCTCAGACTCTGTACATGAGTGTTATTAAGGCTGTGTCCATAAGTTGCGGCTGTGGATGAATAACACAAATAAATGTCAGAGGGAGTTGCTAGCCACTTCCCGTAGAAATGTATGTTACCCTCAGCCGCAGCCACTTGCTTTGGACACAGCTGTACTGAGGCTGTCTTCCGACGACAATGAAGTGCACTATTAGCACTCCATGCTACATCTGGACTTGGCTCTGATCTTGGCCAATCACCTCGCAGGGAAGAGGGTCATACCAATATTGCCATGTTTGTCTTGTTCCCTGTAGGTCCACTGGTAATAGTAATACAACTTCACAAAAGGATGAAAGCGAACAGACTATTTTTCCCTCTAGCCTAAATTTAATTATATGGCTTTCAATGGTACAAAAGCAAGATGGCTGACCCATGATAGAGGTTTATGGGCTTGTTTGTTTCACATGGATCAAGACTCAATTAGTAATCTGTTACTGATTCACCGACACAAAACCCAGCTTTATGGATGAAACGAAAAGCCTTCCTTACCCTGATGACCTCGGGGCATGCATAGTGCGGCGACCCACAGCTGGTCTCCAGCAGCGACTGGTCCAGTTGCAAAGAGGCCATGCCAAAGTCGGCGACCCTGATGTTGTTCTTCTCGTCCAGTAAGAGGTTTTCCGGCTTCAGATCCCTGTGACTGATTTGAGAGAGAAGACCCCAAAAGTCTTCATCAGAACATGAACCACAAGAGTGGATTCTACCAAGAATCATACACCTTTAAGCAACATGTACTACGGTATTTATGACCAAGTTCAAGTAAGGACAACAGTTAACAGTAGTTTTACAAACTTCTCTCCGATGTAAGAGCGCGTGCAAAGAGGCTGGTCTTCTTCCCTTACAGGTAAAACTTCCGATAAGGTTTCCATCCACATCCTTTAACCCAGTTCCAGTGAAGCAAGCAGAAAATTTATGGCAAAATGAGCATGCTTAATTCTAGCTCTTGGCCTTCAGTATTTTCGCCTTCCCAAGTCCCTCAAAATCCACCGCTGTGCATGAAACCAGTGGCTCATTCTTTGTACGGGCACTTCAATTTTCTGGGCACATTGGATCCCTTTGCAAAGTATCTCTGTTTCGGTTTAACCCCTCCTCGATTTTGCAATGTCCTCTCGAAACCTCCAGGTAAAGGTTGAAGACTCGGGGACAGTTAGGACCAACACTTGAAGTTGCCCACCCAATTTCACACGGGAATTCAACAATCAAAACTCCAAACCATAGAGGCTTTGCATTGTAGCCATCTTGCAAGGCAGTTCTTGTGGTCCACAGGGAAAAACCTCCTTTGTGCATACCCTGTGGAACAAAATCTGCAAGATGGCAGCCGTGCAAACCCTCTATACAGTATTGATGAGTCAACACCATAAACTGAACGACACTAAAGAGTTTTTAAAGAATCTTGTACAATGCAAATCGACGGGAACCATTTTCATTAGAATTCCAAACCGAGCGCTACACCAAAATGGAGAACCCAGTTTGCTCTTTCTAATGCAAACTACATGTACATGTACGAACAACAAAATTACTGAAGAGATGAAATGTTCTCGCGACTCATTTTGTTGGAACCAGACACACTCATCAAATACCCAAGCTCCTCACCATATCGAGTGGCAGTGGCAGAAGTCGATGGCCGAGATAATTTGTCGGAAGAACTTCCTGGCCTCCCGCGGCGTCAGTCGGCCCTTCTTGACCAGGTAGTCGAAGAGCTCTCCGCCCGAGACATGCTCTAGCACGAGATATCTGCAGCAAGGGGGAACGATCAACAACGGAGCCAGAAATGAAACTGCGCTTTCATATTTCATGTACACGTATGTACATGTACATGCAGCAGTGCCCCGCAGTAAAGTAAACCAAAAGACAGCCGCCGTGCAATTCAGACATGTCTTGTTCCATGTGATGCTCCATCTTGGAGGGACAGGTACCTGCAACTGATACCTCTACAAATTTGAACAGGGGGTAGAAATCTACGCTCCGTTACACCCTCAAAACACTTCAGGAGTTGCGGGTAAGCAAATGGACAGCTATCTGTAGACAGCTACATGGGCAGGTACATGGACACTGCAAGTGCGTGTACAAGTCATGTCAGTTTTTATGCACGTACCGGTACCTTTTTTTTCTTCAGTGAATGACGTGGGTTGGGTTACGGGATCATTTTTCTTCAGGGTGCATTTGCCCCAAACGAATCAGCTTTGTCCTGTGTTGACTAACGACTGCGGTGAGGTACATGTATGTATAAATTTAATGAGGTTGGCGCAGACGGGCTACAATGACATGAATGATGGCTTCGTTCTGGATCCTGGTGTCAGTCTGTACTTTTTTGGCAACTGCTGGTTTTTCTCCATTAAGCTGGGGAACTTTGGAACGGTTTCAAAGTGGCCAACAGACCCACAAAGCTGAACTCGGAATTAAAGCCAAAAAAAAAATTGCTTACAGGTACTTTCTGTTTTCGTAGACATCGTAGAGGCCCAGCACGTGAGGATGTTCGATCAACTTCATTATTGCAATTTCCCTTTCGACCTAAACAGTGATAAAGCGCAGAAAAAAAGGAAGACAAAAAACCTGGTCATTATGCTGTACATGTTTAAGTCCTTGTATGCACACATCTTACCAATTTTGGGGGGAAGCAAGGGATTAACTGGGATTTCGGCAAAAACAAAAGTAAAGAAATTCCAAACTGCACATGGCATTGTTTTTTCAATTGCCAAACATCGGGAATAAAAGATGCAGAAATCACTTTATCAGAGATTTTTCAGAGGAAGAGTTGTACATGTGCCTACTTCTAAAAATTTCACTGTAAAAATCTGGACTATACCAGTACAGTGTGTGTACAAAGGTACAGCATATGTACAATGCTTATTCCAAATATGTACTGTATATCCTCACCAAACAATGGTTAATTGTTGAAAGGCAAAACCTGACAACAAAAAACTTGTGGAAAAGTTATCACAAGTCAGATACCGGTATTTTTGAAATCTTAACTTGAAACATTGTGAAAAGGGTTTGTTTACTGGCAAATGGCTTACTATGGTTTGAGGGGTTTTAGGTTTCTGGAGAGGTCAAGCAGGTACATGTGCCATCATGGGCAGACAATGCATGAAGTCTTACTGACTTTATTGTGACTCAACAAGAACATGTATGTATGTACTCAATACATGTACATGTACATGTATACAGTACATACATGTACAATGTACATGTATGGTGTACATACATGTATACATGCACTAAAGCAGTGTAGCCTACATCCAAGCACACACGGTGCAAACATATCTTTTTTTAAATTACAGTGACATCATGACTGTGTAGAGTTGAATCCAAACAATAAGCCATTAATAAACGTAGCGGGTAATATTGTACCGGGATGTTTTTATTCAACGTACATTGTACATTTAAGCGTAAGCCCGTGAGGACGTCGGAATGAGCTGTGGTTGTTGCTACATGTACATGTAATTAACTCACACCAGTCATGCAATATGTGACCTTCATCTGTGACTAGCGTAGGTACCAAATGTCATCCTAAACGTACCAGTGGGTGCCATCCCCTCATCCCTGGACAACAACACCGTCACGCCAACGCAAGCAGGCTTCTTCTCCTGCCGCCTGGCGGTAATCATCCAATTATTCCCGACCGCAAATCTGATTTTCTGGCCGGACTGGGGGGGAGAGGGGGGAGGAGTTGGCGTGCGACGGGTCGCCAGGGGTCGGGATGCGCAGTACCAGGTGGTGGTTGAAAGGGAGGGCATGGAGGGAGGGGATGGAGGGAAGGAGGCACGAGGTGAAGGAACAGAAATTTGTCAGGCCCCTCGGGTGACCTACATGTACTGTATGCTTGCAGGCTTGTTAGACTGAGGGCTCCTCACAAGATGCCTTATTGACGCAAGGTGAGCAAAGCGACCAATTACCAGCATGCATTGACTCTGAAAGTGACCACGACGCGCGAATGGAATCTTAACCACTTCTAAAAAAACCCCGCTAATTTTAGCAAATGTTCTGGGTCAACACCGAACACAATCAAATATTCAAATAGTTGGTATGAACATATATTTTACAATGAGATTATACCCACAGTGCAAGTACAGGTGCTAGTGCAGGTACAATGTACATACATGTACATGTACAGTGCATGTACATGCATGTCCACACGTACTTCGAATACACATAAATGGTAGGCATATCAAATAGTCATACATGTAACTACACAAAGCAGCACTGTGGTGTTGTGTTCAAGCATTCAAAGGCCCCACTCCTAGGCATGCAATTGGACTTCATCAAAAAATAAGGGAACTCCAATCTTTACAAGACTTTCTGGTACAGTGTTTTTCAATTTTCAGTGGTGTGAGCATGAAGTGAAAACAAGGAAATCAGCTGATCCGAGGAAAAGTTGCATGCCAGCAATCAAGGGAAGCAGTTAAAGGCACCCGTAAGCAAAAATTTTGGAAAAGATCCCGGAAGGGTAAATACCAGCAGACGCAATCTTGCTTAATGGTGGATGATTCACTTCATGGTGAACATGCACGAAGCCAATGAGCGTTAAATACACCTGCTCACAGTGATGCATCTTCAAGTGCAGTACTGCGTGGCGCCATTCAATCTTTGGTTTTGACTGTACAACCCGCTCCTCTTGCTCGAGGAATCGAGTGTAAATGAATGTGTACATGTATGTCCCACGTATACGTAGGCATGTTTGTAATTTCCCTTTAAAACTACTCTACGATGTAAAGAGCATGATAAATTATCATTACTAATCTGATAAAAATGGAAATTTCCTTTTCAATTTTATTCATTTGGTTTCCTCTTAGAGAACACTCAGAACAGTTACCGAATATATGTATCATACAAGCAGGGAGTGTCAGATTGTTGAAAATGCTCTGGGAGTTGGGGTTAAAGAGTTTAAGAAATAACAAGCATTTCCTTCAACATACATGTACATGGAGGTGCATATGTACATGTACCTGCGAATGCAACTTAATGTGAACAATCTACATGTACATGTATGCACTAGTACTGCTACATTATAACCGGTGGCAGACAATGCCTGTATATACATGTATGTACAAGATACATGCAGGTACAAATGCAGTACACTGTACTAAAAGGTTTTCAAAATTAATAAAATGTACACGTACTGTTTGTGAACAACAACCAAGCTGATGAAGCCTACATCGTTACATGTACATGTAGTAAGTATACATAAGCAAACCACCACGGCAGTGTGCATGCTCATGAACAGGCAAACCTACTGTGCATATCAGGCGGGCCCATTCTATTTGTATGAATGGGTATCACTTCATGTACAGTTTGGACGGTTCTAGATCTCAATATTCTCCGGCGAGGGGAGGGTGGAGCCAGCCTGGAATCAATACTAATGCTGCTTCCTGAGTAGCAGTTTAATGATCTGCAGCTGGCACTCGGCAACACCTCATCCGATGATGAGGATACCATCTGCTAATCGGGGAGGGGAGGAGGGCAGGGGCTCGGTGGAGTGGTTGGGCTTGGAGTAGATTTGGTGTGATTATAAAAATGAAATGTTTTCGGAGAGATCTTTCTCTCTTTCAATAAGTTTGGCCTGAACTGGGATCTGGGATCGTGCCATTAAAATTTGAGATTCAACTTGGCAACCTGTAGGGCTACTGGGACTTTCCTTGACTTCCAATTTATCCCAACTACACAGTACATTTACATGTAGACTGGCAGGTGGATTTCCCTGCAATATGCTTTTGGGGCTTTTCCTCCCACCAACGGTGGCAAAAACATTTTCAAAGTGGAAGGGGTCCATTCATGACAACATCAGGCATCAGCCATTAATGTAAGCCCCACCCCATTATAAGTCCTGCAGAAGGGAGAGGGGGACGCCATGCCCCCCATCAAAAAAGTGGGGTGGGGAACTGGTCCCCTTGCCTCTCCCCACCCCCCATTTCTTCATCGTCTTCACTGCGGTTTTAAAATGAGGGCCTGATGTCAGCCAAGTTCTGGAGGGGTTACCCTTAAAAAAAAAAAGATAGTTTAATAAAATTCTCTCATAATACTCATGCTTATGGAATTACCACAGGCCATATTATGGTTGACGATATAAAGTATGGTTGTGAATCCACCATCCAAGGCATCTCATCAATCACAGAGTCCCTATAAATATAAATACTAATACATGTGCATGTACATGTATTACATGAAGTACATGTATACATGTAGAGTGTGTATTGCACTGGCAGAGTGACTGCATTACTTGTCATGTGACAAACATTATCTCAAGATTGTGAAGAACGGCTTGTGAAAGTTTGAAGGATAAGGAGGAGTACTTCACTTTTTGAACCCTGCTCTTGATTTTGAGTATTGGGTCAGTTTGGGGAAAGGGGGGAACGTCGGAAGGGAAAGGGCAACAGCGTCTCATCTGGATAGAGCATTTCAAAAACTTGTTTCCTGTCCATCTCACCTTCATTAAGACTGACTCGCTCAGCTTTTCCTTGTTGATGATCTTGACGGCAACCTTCTTACCCGTGACACAATGCACACCTAGCTTCACCAGTCCTGTATTAATCGAGAACAAGGAAAACAAAAAATCACCAAATACACAAGAATTACATTTTGTTTCTGAACTTGATTCGTACTTTAGAGTCAATCACGTGGGCCTTTTCCACTGGTTTATGGATTGACACGGACAGTGTAGGAGACCACTTTATCGCAGAAACTGGGGCATCTGATCAGACATTTCTGGAAAACTCTCCAGATCTTAACACGACCCCTTGTGTATGATAATACATATCATCTAGTGTAATAAGATATCGAGCATTGCATTTCTGTCAGGACGAGACAGTATGCATCGCTGTCGTCAGAAACGACACGCTCCCTCTCTTTCAAGATTCTACTCCTACGCGTAATTCTTTTGTTGGGGGAAAAAAGGGGAAAGACAGATGAGGAAATTTGTGTTTAATGGGATAAAGTCATGAGAGTAATGCGATACAGTGAGATGCGGCATGTTGTAACGCATTCATCACAGGGGATGACTGAATTCCCAACAGAAAGTGGAAAAAATTGAAAGGTCAAGGAGATTAGTCATGAAGTGTATAGGTACATCTGAACACAATACATGCATGTGTAATGGACAGTATGACAGGTGCCAGGTACAGGTGTCTGCATGTTACTGACAGAAACAATTGCACTTGTACCCATACATGTACATGTATATGTACGCATGCACTGCTTAACAAACTACGTGTCGTCGGGTCAGCACTATAGCACTGATGATTTTGAAAATAATTTTAGGGCCCTATTCTAAGCATGAAGGAATTTTATGAAGAAACATATAATGTTCCACATTATTTCATTGATAAAAATCCTTTTTGGGGACTGTTTCTCAAATCTTCACCAGGACTTTGCTTGTATTTCAAGTTTTAAAACAATTTCATTAACGACCTTTCAGTGTGAATATTTTGTTCATGACCTTATACATGTAGTACTAATACGATGATGTATAAGTTACATGTACATGTATTTACTGTACATGTGTACATTGTACGGTACCTTATTCGTGTTATTTATAACCACGGTTATCGTGCTGTGCCCGCGCAAGCACGTGGTGTAACTTCTGAATGTGGACTTCAAGGAACAATGAGAACATTGAGTATGTACCGGTATGTACATGTACATGTGCACTCTACCTTCAGCACACCTGCAGGTACATTACAATCTTACATTTCCATTTAGAAACTACAGGCATGGTTAATGGATCTGCATACACAATACATGGTCTCCAATTACATGTACGTACAGGTGCATGTATAGTACATACATGACATACATACTGACCCCACCGGTATAACCGGTTCACTGCATGGAAAGTCATATTAGGAAATATACTCCATCATGTTACGTGTAAATGCACACCAGCAATTACATTTCAGTAGCCTAAAAAATGTAAGACATGTCCTAAGCGATGGCCCTGACCAATTAGTGAAATGCTTGACAGCATGCAGCCGTCCTGGTGCACACACATGTAGTGTGAACACAGTACATGTACATGTACTTTACATACCATTATGTACATGTATGTACAGTACATGTACATGTGCCAGAAAATGCACAACAAAATATCCATGCAGGGCTTTGTACAGGTGCAATGTGCATACCGGAACATGTGTACATGTACAGTACATGTACCCTTACTGTTTACAGTACTGTAGCAGTAGGTGTTGGGGGAAAACTGGGCGTGTACAAAATGTTGAACGAAAAGTTTCAGGTTTTTTGTTTTGACAAATGTCCGCCATGCTCTCCTGCAAAATTGCAGTGACAACTTGATTCTTCTTTTTTTAAAGTCATAGACAGGTACTGCACATTTAATTCACTGGCAAGGGTGCTTACCAAAAATGAAACATTCATTTATTGGAATTCAAGACTTTAAAATATATACATCTGAAATTTCCTATTCTTTTTTTGACCACAATTGAAAGCAAGTGTACAAAATATGTATGTGTCTTAAAGCGTGTTACGTTCTGTCAAAATTGGGCTCATCAATTAAAATGAGATACTATTGATTTTGGGTCACAAGGCGAACGTTACAGGCCCGACACTGCACGGATACAGTCAGCTATTTAGCGTGCTGCACGTACGCTCGCCGCACGATTGACCAGTGACTCAGGCCAGGGCCAGAGGGAAATATTGATGCGTTTATCCCAGCGATACACTGAATCCGCACCATTTCCTCATTAAGAATAGCAGAAAGCAATAGTGAAGCTTGGCATGTGAACAATCTTGGGTTCAATTTCATTTTTCAAGGCACTGCGAAGAGCATCAGGGCAAGATAGCTTTTTTTTTTACAAATTCTTAAATTATCTTTAACTTTATTTTCAATTGCAGTTAGCTGAATGACAACTTATGGCGACTGCAAACTACCGCTAGCTACATGTACGTGTAATTCTTTTTTTTTTTTGCCAAGTCCTCTGGGATGAGAACACCAAGAAATGTTTAAAGACAGGACTATGGTTGTGAATATATAAAAGTACCTCGCGATACGGGGCAAGCTTTTCCATAGCGACCACAATCTCTGGAACGGATTGGTTCCTTTGGGCCCTTCTTATCCACTGAAAACAGTATATTGGTGCAAGGCGTCTCGTCTCTTATGTACATTACAACCAAGCAACTAAAGCTTTCCCTGAATCACGAGGTATAACAACAGAGTCTTCAGTATGGAGAATTCAAATGGTTTGGTTTACATGTAGATGTAAATTTGAAGCACTCAATGTACCAGATTTCCCCTTAACTGGCAAAAGGCTTATAACCCATTTTCATTAAGATGGAAAAACTATACTAGTACATTGTACATGTACATTTACATGATACTCATGTACATCAAAGCAAAGAGCTCAGCCTACTCTGTCTAATCATGGAGCTACTGTACATGTACGGTCTAATGAACAACTTCAAGCAGAATTAAATGCACATACATGAGAATACTTTTAAAAAAATGGCCTTACATGTGATTTAAGGCTTATTTTAGGGACCCGATCACATGCCGGTATGTACATGTACAATTGCACATGTATGTATTATTTTACATGAACAGGGTTCCGGGTGCAATGCACAATTACCGGTACTCTGCTATCAGCTGAATGCACTTTCTCCAATCTAGAGTATTCTGTACAATACCTCCTCAGCTGATAAGTGTGTGGTACTGCATCATTCGAATTCCAACGTCCTCTTCTTCTTAGGGCGAGTTGATAATTTCCATACATGTATGTCTATGTACATGTACCTACCGGTACATGATGCACGCACATGTACATGTAACCTGGGGGAGTTCTCCCAAATTCTTCCAGGTACGTGTACTGTACGTGTATAAACGACGGCACACATTGGGCAAGATTGAAGAGATGAACAAGACTTCTTGCCCTGTTGAAAATTTCTATTTCTTTTTTAATTGTTTAATGAATAAGTTACTTATTGAATTGTGGTAAGATTTCTGACACTTTTCATTTGAATCTGCTTGAAACAAGCCTCCATACTGTAGTGCAATTTTTTCATTTAAAACAAAAGAAAATTTTCCCTTCTTTTTCGTGAATTTTGCATTCAAATATTAATAATCCAAAAAATAATATTCAAATATTCGACAATCGATCGAATATTCAGTTATTCAGATATTCTGCACAGTCCTTCGTACCGGTACATCTGACCTTTGTTATTTGACATGGAAATATCACCGGAATTGATTTCAAACTATTACTATTTGTTTGGCAGGTACAAGTAATTTGCCTTAATTTTCCACTCTTGGAAATTAGAAAACGTGTTCTGAACTTAAAAAATCATGTGTCAGATGTGACAAGGACACAAAAAAAATGGACCCCCTACTTTTTGGAATTACCAGTGAACGCATAAAAAACCTAATGTACAGTATGGAAATGTACATGTACCTAGGGGGAGCGGGTTAGCTTTGTGGTTCTTTCTTCGCTTTGCACCAATGAGGCCCAGGTTAGAGTCCCAGCTCAGCCCAGGCTTTAAGTGCATTTGGTTTCCAGTCCATACTCGCTCTCGCAGGTTTTCTCCGGATACTCCGGTTTACTCCTGCCTCTAAAACTGGACCTTCTTCCTAACTCCGTAATGTGAGGCTGATTAATAAAGGTTATGAATAAATGTATAGTTATTAGTGTAAACAGCCCGAGTAGCTGAAAGCACCATTATTAATAAAATAACAACAGAACAACGAGTGTGTTCACATCATATACAGTGCATTTGAAAGGTTTTCATTTTTTGCCCACGTTTTCTCAAGCCCAAACAATCAGACCCCTGAGAGCCTTTAAAGAATTAATTTTCAGCTCTGGAAGATCCGGCATTTCCCCCGTTATTGCTAGTACAGTCCCACTACACTAGCAAGCTACATGTACATGTACACCTTCAGGGCTTCACGTACTGTGATTTTTCTAGTCATGGGAGAAGCATAATTTCCTGTTTTCACGTTTTATTCCCCCGTGGAAAAAAAAAAGTACATGTCAGAGGGAACCCTGCATCAAATTGGACTCCATTCACGTGTGGTGTTGTAATCCGTTCACTTGGATTATTCGAAAATAGTAACTTTTGAAATGGTCAAAATGATTTTCATTTGAAATGTTTATGTTTATGAGGAAAGGTACAATGTACATGTACATGTACATTCATGTATACGAGTACATGTACATACAGGTACAATACTGTAAAATACCGGTATTGTTCAGTGCACGCAGGCACACAGGCACAGCTGGGGTATTGTTTTCCCATATCAGAATCAAATTTCCGTCCCGTTCAGGTGAACTTGCAGGCCGTGAAAGCACTACAAAGGTACCAGTTGATGTGACAATATTTTTGTGCAACACTGTTCAATGCTTTCAATGTCATTCACCTGTTTCACCATACATGTAACATACCAGTTTTTGCCATTGACCATGTTGACAATGATCTGTTGTCACTGTGCCGATTTAACAATTTATAATCCAAATGTTTCATTTAACTACAGTACTTTTATTTAAGTATTTAACTGCGGTACATGTACATGTACCAACGTCCTGAGTTTACTTTGATTCTCCACACCTTTGAATTCTGCAAATGTACATGTACAAGCCCCTCTCCCAGCTACATTTTTGAGAGCACAACCCAGCTCCAAATTATTTCTTAACAGATTCCTAATAAGAAGGTACACCAAGACAACAAATACTGACTTCAAGTATATACTTGAATACCGACAAGAATATAACATCAAATCAGTGCTCTGAAATATACGATTGCCGAGCTCTGCAATCACATATTCAATCAAAAACCTACAAAGGAAAATGGATTTCGATTGATTTTGATGGATTTAGGGTAGTTAGGGTTCATCCTAGATGAAACCTTCATGTAGATTCTCAGACTGGCTGCAACTTGCAGTCTCCCCCACATCCTCTAGTTTTCACCCCGTTATTAAATTTTTCAACCCACTGACTTTCAAGATGGATCCCCTTTCTGGAATTTACACACGTCACAGACCGGGCCGGGTGAACAGCATGAACAAATATCGATGGTTTCTGGGGTCAAGCTAATGTACCGGTATCATTCCAAAAGACCTCACTCTATCACTTCAGATGGATCCTGCGAACTACATATACATGTATGTAACCGGTTTGTTGCATATATGTGCATGTATGTACCCGGTATGTTGCATACATGCGCATGTATGTACCCGGTATGTTGCATACATGTACATGTATGTACCTGATATGTTGCATAATTGTGTATGTATGTACCCTGTATGTTGCATACATGTACATGTATGTACCCGGTACGTTGCATACATGAGCATGTATGCACCGGTAAGCGTGAAGACTGCATTACTGTGATTTCAAGAGGTTTTTACCATTGAGGATTGTAAAATTTAAGACTTCAAAGCTGTGTTTTTAACGGAGCCGACATAACTTGGACTTTTAGTAGGATGTACGTGTATGCAACCAAATTTATTTCCCAGATTCCTAAAAACAAAGTTTGGCAAATTTACTTCATGCCAGCACAAAGTGACAAACACTAACAAAACAGCAGTAAATGATTTCAAGAGTCCATCATCAGGATTCGAAAATAACGCTGGTCCGCAGGCCAACTGCCCGTCAAAATGTCCGCAGACCAGTCTAACCCTTGTTTACTTGGTCCAGGCGACTAGGTCTAAACAATTGACGTCTGCCCTTAAAATGCCACTTACGAAACTGTTTACAACAGCTTTTGTATTACATATACACGTACTAGTATGTTCTGGAAAATCGTGGGAAATGGTGAGAGAAGTTCGATGTAAATCGTTAAATATATTGTATTGGGGTAAAATGCTGCAATAAATGTGTGACTTTACTCACATATTCAACCAACAAATTGGTGTAAAATTTTGTTATTTATTTATTTGTCTTATTTATACACAGGGAACCCATTCAGCCAAGGCTGTTTTTCAAGGGGTCACGTTAAAACTTTTAAAACAGGAGAAAAATAAAAGGAAAAAAGGAAAAATACATGTATATTACTACAAAATAAATAAAACCCACTAAATTAAGAATTTAAGAGGAAAATCATTAAAATATACAAACTCAAAATGATTAACTACATGTACATGTATATGTACTTAAAACCAGAGATAAAGGACAAGCACATGTATTTAAGTTAAACCTGAGCAGAAAAATGGACCTCTAGCAACTAAAAAATAGGTTTAAAACTTACTAAAGCAATTCAGAAACAGCAGGAAAAGATTTGATTAAACTCGCATATAAAATAAAAAACAACTGGATGACATGAAACGAAGCAGTAATCTTGTCAGACATTTGTGGCCTTCAAACTTGCATTTGAAGCTACTAACACTGTCTACAGTCTGTATGTCATAATTTAGTGAATTACCGGTACTAATTTTCGTACTGTGCAACACATACAAAAAGCGGACAACCAGTCAAAACCTTGGCATGCCAGTCAAGACGTGGCTCCACTGGTCCAGTAGGCCAGAAGTTTTAAAAAGTTATGGGGAGCCCTGATCACGTCAATGGATAGGAAAACAAATTCTCACAAAAAATTCAAGAAATGTTTAGCATTAAATGAAACTACCCAAGCTCAAGAACCAAGGAAAACAGTGCGCGGACGTGTGCGAGTCCACACAACGCCATCGCACCCTACATTACGTGGACTTCTTTTGTGCAGAGGTCCACACTTAGTACGCCACGCCTGCACACATCTACATGTACTAGAAAATAAACGCGCCTCCAGGGACATGGTTAGCTGCCTGAAATGCCTTTGCCCTCATGTTATGTCTCGTGAAAAACCTCTATGGTTTGGATGACTGTATTAGACCTGTATCTGAGCATTATAATCATGCATCATTATTAGTTACCAAATGAGCGTGAGTGGAACACAGAATAAGGCAGTGCATTTGTAGCCGTGTCCCGTTTACCACGAGGCCGACTGGTGTACGGGACACAGACGCACTACATTATTCTCTGTTCCAAAAAGTGTAAGCACGGTGATGAATTTATCTTCAAGTAAAGTTGATGTGCAGTAAAGGTGTTATAGGGGCCTATGCGCTCAAACGCGCCACCTTTGAATCGACAGTCAATTTTGCAGTTGTGCATTTTGCTTTTACGGTTTAGTTTTAGCGTAAACATAGCGCAAAGCATTCAGTTAGAAATGCGCGATACGCGGGGTTTGACATGGACAGTGCCACACAGTTATATGCCACACTGTTACCATGGCAACTTTGATAGGCAACTGAGAATTCAAGTCTGCCAGAAAATAACAGTAGATAACACTTCCTATATACGTAGGCCTAAGTATTGTACGTGTGCCTCCATGACAAAAATTGCATGCAAAGTCACAGCAGACAGGACTTTAAACAGGCCTAGGCCTAGTACATGTACATCAACTACATGTAGTTTCAAAAGTGGACACTGGAACGTAAAATAGCAAGCAAATTACACGAATATGTACGCGAATACCTAGAAAGAGCACGTTTCACACGAAAAAAACATGTAAAATAACCAAACGCAGTTGTGAAAGTAATGTACGCCAATGATTAAATAAATAAAATAGGATATTATCCCGCGAAAATGATATTTTTGAGAAGGGCGGGTGGATGGATTTGCGGGTCAACCCACTTTAACTGTCAGGAGGGGGCGTTTAGCCTACAACAGAAAAGAAAAACTTGGTAGAAAAACGTCACAATTACAATGAAAACAAATCAAGCAGTTTAACCGACATGACGATCCGCATCTCATTCCAACCCATACCGACAATGATAACACTTACTTTGATAGACAATACGATATACCACACGTCTCACGTCTCCTCAAATTAAAATGAATCGTTCCGCAAAAGTGTTCAATACCCGTGCAAACGAAATTCGGCTGACAGTTCTCTTGCCTACCTGTTTGCCCTTTTCCGAGGGTTTTCTCCAGTTTGTAAGGCCCCACGTGCTGCATGTCCCCTCTAAACATGGTGTCCATGTATACACTAGCGTGTCTGGCGGTCGGAAGAGGCAAAACATCGCCGTTAAGTTGGCAAAGAAAGTGCTAAAATCGGCACAAGGACCGGGCGTGTGCTACCGCTTCGCCATCGTTGAGCTTAGAAGATGTGATAATGAATATTCATCTTGTGACGACAATGAGTTTGACCTAATTATTTGACATTGCCGGGTACTTAGCATGCCTAACCGCAAGACAAAATAATTATCTACTAAGCAAGGAAATGAATCTCTCTGCTAAATTTCTTTAAACGTTAACCACCTTAAATATAATACTGAAGTTAGCATGGATTTCTATACTTGTAACGAACTCGAACTTTGAATAATTCATGAGCCACCTGCCCTGATTAAATGAGTTCTAAGCATTGAGGGCGCGCTACCAGGGAGACAACGTAACGCAAAAGCAAAATTGGACTGCGCCTGTTGACGCTGACTAGGAGCAAAGCAGCGATGCGATTCTTTTCAATGGAAAATAAACATAGTTTCATTATGAGTGCCAGAGCGATTTTCTTTTCAATTTCAATCGTGTCAGCCATCTTTCCCCCATGACGCTGTACATGTCGGCGTTCTGGCGATGACTTCATCAAATCAGCCTGGGAGCGGGGACGGCCAAAGGGGGATTTTTCGTGGGTGGGGAAACGCAGGATCTTTTTATTCATTTTGGGGCTACGATTGAAGGGTCAAACATTGAATTTATGATATTTTGAAATGGTTACGTATTTGTTGTTATTTTGAAATACTTCACGTGAACTAAATGTTTTCTATTTCTGTTAATATCTTGTGACACCATGAATTTACAGTTCTGGGTAAATAATTTTGAGATGTAAAAGAGATATTAAAGTCATTGAATCATTT